ACCCTTGGGTTTTGAAGACCCCAAAGACAGTGCTTGAGGCTAGTTCGCAGTCTGAATACCTTAAAAGACAAGTTAGAAGGCATCAGAGCAGCTCTCTAGCATCTATCCTTGAGGCGCTTAAGTTATTTTTTAAGGGAATAAAGGCAATAATGCATCAAATGGTATTATTGAAGTCCGAGAACTAGATTCTTCGACAGGCAAATGAGACTCTTAGCAAGCGGCGCAGAGCAAAAAGAACCCGCCTACAGAATAGAGGGAAGATGACTATAGAGGAGGGAAGGGAAGCAATTGATCAAATAGATATCAATATGTACGTATAGGCTGAATCGTCGAAAAGTGGTAGTTAAGGAGGGTTGGCGCAACCAAAGGAAAGGCGCTGTGGAACTTGTGGAAAGACTGGCTATAATGCAAGGACTTGTTAGGCTGTAATTGAGACCTCTAGAGAAGAGTATAGCGATTAGTTTTAATTAATTGAATGGTTTATTGTATTTTTATTGAAGTTTTAATCTTAAAGGGTTAGGAAAAGTACAGTGTATACTTGGATGTAGCGTATGCTTATTAAGTATGTTATAACTTTTATATAATAATAATAATATAACTATATAATATATATAATTTTTTAAAAATCTTATTATATTTTAATTTTAAAATAAATTATAAATAAAAATAATTATCTTTTTATTTATATATAACTTATATATATAATTATAATAATAATAATAATAAATTTAATTTATTAATTTTAATTACTAGTATATATAGTTATTAATATTAAAAACTAATTATAAATATTATTATTTATCTTTTTATTTTATATTATTAATTTATTTTTAATATAAATTATAATTATAAATTACTATTAGTTATTATAAAATAAATATTAATAATCTTATTTTTATATAATAATTTAAACTTAATAATATAAATTGCAATTATAAATTACTATTATTATAAATACTCTTTTTTATATATAGTAACTTAAGCTTATTAGTATAAGCTATAATTATAAGTTACTATTATTATAAATTAATTATAATAACTCTCTTTTATATATAGTAATTTAAATATAATAATATTAATTACTATTATAAGCTATTAATATTATAAACTAGCTGTAAATACTCTTACTTATATATAGTAACTTAAGCTTATTAGTATAAGCTACTATTATAAGCTACTACTATTAATAGTAAAAGCTAGCTATAAATACCCTTTTTTATATATAATAACTTAAGCTTACTGCTATTAGAAGCTAGCTGTAAATACCCTTACTTATATATAGCAACTTAAGCTTGCCGGTATAAGATATAGTTATAAGCAGCTGTTATTATAGGCCGGCTGGAAATGCTCTTATATATATATATCGACTCCAGCCTGCTGGTATAAGCTGCTGATATTACAGGCCGACTTCAAATGCTCTTTCTTACATATAGCAACTTGAGCCTGCCGGCATAAGCTGCTGTTATAAGCTGCAGTTAGAAGCTGCTGCCGACGTTAGAGGCCGGCTGCGAATGCCCTCCCTTATACACAACAACTCGAGCCTGCTGCCGTCAGGGGCCGACTGCAAATACCTTTACCTACACACAGCAACTCGAGCCTGCCGACGTTAGAGGCCGGCTGCAAATGCCCTCACTGGCACACATCGACCCCAGCCTGCCGTCACAAGCTGCCGTCACAAGCTGCGGCTGTTGTTATATTCCGGCCGAAAATACCCTCACTTGCACATAGCAACTCGAGCCCGCCGGCACAAGCTGCAGTCACAAGCTGTAGTCACGAGCTGCTGTTATCACAGGCAGGCTGCAAATACCCTCCCTCGCACACAGCGACCCGAGCCTGCAGGCACAAGCTGCTGTTACAAGCTGCTGCCGACGTTAGAGGCCGGCTGCAAATGCCCTCACCTACACGCACACACACGCACACAGCAACTCAAGCCTGCCGGCACAAGCTGCCGTTACAAGGGGCTGTTGTCAAAGGCCGGGTTTAAATGCCCTCACGTACACACAGCAAGTTGAGCCTGCCGGCACGGCGAGCTGTTACAAGCTGCAGTCGCAAGCTGCTGTTACAAGCTGCTGTTATTACAGGCCGGATGCGAATGCCCTCGCTTCCACAGAGTAACCTGACCTTGCTGTTGCAGGTTGCCGTTACGAGCGGCTGTTGGAAGCTGCTGCCGATGTTATAGGCCGGCTGCGAATACCCTAACTTGCATATAACAACTCGAGTCTGCCGGCACAAGCTGCAGTTATAAGCTGCTATTATTACAGGCCGGCTACAAATACCCTCCCTCGCATACAGCAACTCAAGCCCGCCGGCACAAGCTGATGTTAAAAGTTGCTGACGTCATAGGCCGGCTGCAAATGCCCTCACTCTCACACGGCAACTTAAGCCTGCCGGCACAAGCTGCAGCCACAAGCTGCTGTTACAAGCTGCGGTTGGAAGCTGCGGTTGGAAGCTGCAGTTATCTAATGCCGGCTCCAAATGCCCTCACTTACACAAAGCAACTGGAGCCTGCCGTCACAAGCTGCCCTCTCTCGCACACAGCAACTCCAGCTTGCCGGCACAAGCTGCCGTCACAAGCTGCCGTCACAAGCTGCCGTCACAAGCTGCTGTTATCAACGGCCGGCCCCGAACCCTCACTTGTGCCCTCACTTACACACACACACACAGCAACTTAAGCCTGTCGACGTCAGGGCCCGGCTGCAAATACCCTCCCTTGCACACAGCAACTGGAGCCTGCCGGCACAGGCTCCGTGAACCTGCTGCAAAATCTCTCTGCCCCTTTCCAGGAGGCCCAGCATTACTCTACCTCTGGGCAACCAGACCAAATATCTTGCATCCGTGCGGCTCACCAACTCGAGCCTGCCAGCACAAGCTGCTGTCACTAGCTGCCGTTGGAAGCTGCTGCCGAGGTCATAGGCCGGCTGCAAATGCCCTCTCACTTGCACACAGCCCCTCGAGCCTCCCGGCACAAGCTGCCACCACAAGGGGCTGTTATCGCAGTCCGGCTTTAAATGCCCTGACTCGTACACAGCAGCTCGAGCCTGCCGACGTCAGGGGCCGGCTGCGAATGTCCTCACTTACACATAGCAACTCGAGCCTGCCGGCACAAGCTGCCGTTACAAGCTGCCGACGTCAGAGGCCGGCTTCAAGCCCTCACTTGTGCCCTCACTTACACATATATATAACAACTCGACTCTGCCGGCACAAGCTGCTGTTGCAAGCTGCTGTTATCAACGGCCGGCCCCGAATGCCCTCACTTACACACAGCAACTTGAGCCTGCCGGCACAAGCTGCAGTCACAAGCTGCTGTTACAATCTGCCGACATCAGAGGCCGGCTGCGAATGCCCTCACTTACACACACACACACACACACAGCAACTCGAGCCTGCCGTTACAAGCTGCTGTTGCAGGCTGCAGTCACAAGCTGCTACTGATGTTATAGCCCGGGCGCAAATGCCCTCACAATAACACTGCTGCCGGCTCTTAGTACTAGCCGCAGGCAGCTGGCGATACCCTCATCTTGTCATAGCCTTATATAGTAAAATTAACAACCCACCTTTAACAACAGCTGCTAGCTGAAAGGGGCTTCTGGTCTAGCGGTTAAGAATTCGTTCTTTGGCCGCAATACGTAAGGAAGCTTGCTAGCAGCTAGGAAGTGCCTCCTCGGAGGTTATTCCGGTCTCTGATTGGTCACACTGCCTCACAGTAAATCCAAACAGAGAGAAAAAACCGCCGCAGCTGGATAGGACCAATAGGCATTGAAAGCTGTGTTCCAATAAGACGGTTTCTTAGGAGGGTGACGCCTGGCCAGGGGTCCTAAGTTTTTTGATTGGTCGGATAGCTGAGTCTTTAGGTTCAATTCCTCCCTTAGCAGCTATTCTTTTTTCTTTTTAATTGACTGACTGACTGACTGACCGACTGACGGACTGACCGACCGACTAACTAACCGACCGACCACTGACTGACCGACTGACTGACTGACCGACTGACGGACTAATTGGCTGCTTAATAAGCACAGGTTTAATTCCTTCTTAATAGCTATTCTTTTTGCTCTTTAATTGCTCCGGGCTAAGATCAGCTAGGTGATGTTAGCCGACCTTATAGGGCCGCCCGCGCCCCTGTAATTGGGGCCCCCGCCCTAACTAGCCGGGCCCCATAACCTTAAGTTGACTCTTAAGCTGCTATTGCAAGCTACTATTACATGCTGCCGAAGTCTCAGGCCGGCTGCAAATACCCTCCCTTGCACACAGCAACTCGAGCTCGCCAGCACAGGCTCCTTGAATCTGCTGCAAAATCTCTCTGCCTATTTCCAGGAGGCCGGCTATAAATGCCCTTACTTACACACATACACACGCGCACACATATATACATATAGCAACTCAAGCCTACTGCATAAGCTGCTGTTGCAAGCTGCCGGCGTAAGCTTCCTGTTACAAGCTGCCATTACAAGCTGCTGTTATAAGCTGCTATTATAAGCTGCTGCTAATTTATAGGCTGGCTCTAAATGCCCTCTCTTGCATACAGCAACTCGAGCCTGCCGCATAAGCTGCAGTTACAAGAGGCTGTTATTACAATCCGGCTGAAAATGCCCTTGTCTACCCTAGGCTACTTGAGCCTGCCGGCATAAGCTGCTGTTACAAGCTGCCATTATAAGCTGCTGTTGGAAGCTGCTGCCAACGTCAGAGGCCGGCTTTAAATGCTCTTACTCGCACATAGTAGGTTGAGCCTGCCGGCATAAGCTGTAATTACAATCTGCTGTTATTATAGGTCGGCTGAAAATGCTCTTGCCTACTCTAGGCTACTTGAGCCTGTCGGCATAAGCTGCTATTACAAGCTGCTAAACTTGCCACAGCAACTCGAGCTTGCCGGCACAAGCTGCCGTTGCAAGTTGCTGTTGAAAGTTGCTACTGATGTTATAGGCCCGCTGTAAATACCCTCACTTGCACACAGCAACTCGAGCTTGCCAGCACGAGCTGCTATTGCAAGCTGCAGCTACAAGCTAGTTAGTAACGCACTAACTTACATATAGCAACTGGAGCTTTCCGGCATAAGCTGCTGTTGTAAGCTGCCGACGTTAGAGGCCGGCTGCGGATGCCCTTACTGGCATATTGCAACTCGGGGTTGCCGGCATAAGCTGCTATTTTGACAGGCCGATTCGGACCCCCCTGACTTGCCGGCAGTAACTCAAGCCTGCCGGCACAAGCTACCGTTATAAATACCCTCCCTCACATATAGCAACTCGAGCCTGCCAGCACTAACAGCTGTTGCAAGCTGCTATTGGAAGCTGCTCTCTTACAAGCCAAGCAGGCACGCCCTTCCCCGACTACTGCAGCTTGGGCTTGCTATTGGAAGCTACTATTAGCAAGCTGCCGTTACAAGTTGCTGCTAAGATCATAGGCCGGCTGCGAACGCCCTTACTTATACATAGCAACTCGAGCTTGCCGGCACAAGCTGCCATTGCGAATACCCTCACTTGCACACAGCAACTCGAGCTTGCCGGCTCAAGCTGCTGTTGCAAGCTGCCGACGTTACAGGCTGGCTGCAAATGCTCTTACTTATGCATAGCAACTTGAGCTTGCCGTTGTAAATGCCCTCCCTTACATACAGCAACTCGAGCCGGCCGGCCCAAGCTGTAGCTACAAGCCACAAGCTACAAGCTACAAGCCATAGCGTTCATAGCCTTATAGAGCCCGATATGTCTTTCTGATCCTAACAAGCAGCAACGGGCAGGTTTAGTCAAGTAGTTAAGGACTTTATTCTTGGCCGCCTGGCTAAGCTTGGCTAATTGTTAGGAGGAAGCCTACTCATAGGCTAATCCGGTCTTCTAATTCCATACTACCCTATAGTTGCAGCGAATTAGGAGAGAAAAAACCGCTACAGTAGGATAGGATTAATTGGTATTGATTGCTATGCGCCAATAAGCCAGTTTCTAAGGGGTTCCCAGCCGGGCCCCTTAGTTTTTTGCCTATTGCAGAGGCTGAGCCTATTGCGCCGAGGCCTAGGGTTTAATTCCTCGCTGCTATGAATTTTCTTTCCCTCTTTTTTACAAGGGCGAGTATGTTGCCAAGCAGACCTAAAGATGTAGCCTATAGCTATAAATACCCTCACTTACTCACAGTAACTCAAGCCTGCTATTGCAAGCTGCTATTGCAAGTTGCTGCCGACGTCATAGGCCGGCTATAAATGCCCTCACTTGCATACAACAACTCGAGCCTGCCGGCACAAGGTGCCGTGACAAGCTGCCGTTGCAAGCTGCCGTTGCAAGCTGCTGTTGCAAGCTGCTATTGCAAGCTGCCGTTACAAGCTAGCTAGTTGCAAATGCCCTCACTTACACACAGCAGCCCGAGCTGGCTGCTATTGCAAGCTGCTATTGCGAGCTGCTATTGCAAATACCCTCCCTCGCACACAGCAACTCGAGCCTGCCGGCCCAAGCGGATGTTGCAAGCCGCCATTACGAGCTGCTATTGTCATAGGCCGGCTGCAAATACCCTCCCTCGCACACAGCTCAAGCCTGCCGGCACAGCAAGCTATTGCAAGCTGCAGCTACAAGCCAATCAGCAACACCCTGACTTATACATAGCAACTCGAGTCTGCCGGCACAAGCTGCTATTGCAAGCTGCCATTGCAAGTTGCTGCCGAGGCTATAGGCCGGCTGCAAATGCCCTCCCTCACATACATCAACTCGGGCTTGCCGGCATAAGCTGCTATTTTGACAGGCCGATCCGGAACGCCCTGACTTGTCGGCCGCAACTCGAGGCTGCCGGCACAAGCTGCTATTGCAAATGCCCTCCCTAGCACACAACAACTCAAGCTTGCTATTGCAAGCTGCTGTTGCAAGCTGCTGTTGCAAGCTGCTGTTGCAAGCTGCTGTTGCAAGCTGCTGTTGCAAGCTGCTGCCGACGTCATAGGCCGGCTGCAAATGCCCTTGCTTGCATATAAGTCCTCCCTCAGCAGCTACTTTTCTCTCTCTTTTTTTAATTAACTGACTAACTGACTGACTGACTGACTGTTTAGTCTGCTTGAAGCAGTAAATACCCTCACTTACACATAGCAACTCGAGCCCGCCGGCACAAGCTGCAGTCACAAGATGCCATTGGAAGCTGCCATTGAAAGCTGCTGCCGACGTCACAGGCCGGCTGCAAATACCCTGCCTTGCATATAGCAACTCGAGCCTGCCGGCATAAGCTGCCATTGGAAGCTGCCGTTGAACGCGGCGGTCACAGGTTGCCGTTATGACAGGCCGGCTACGAATGCCCTCACTCGCACTCAGCAACCCGAGCCTGCCGGCACAAGCTGCCGTTGGAAGCTGCCGTTGAAAGCTGCCGACGTCATAGGCCGGCAGCAAATGCCGTCATTAACAAACGGCAGCTCGAGCCCGGCGGCACAAGCTGCAGTCACAGGCTGCTGTTGCTAAAGGCCGGCTGCGAATGCCCTCACTTACACACAGCAACACAAGCCCGCCGGCACAAGATGCTGTCATCAAAGGCCGGCTATAAATGCCCTCGCTCGCACATAGCAACTCGAGACTGCAGGCATAAGCTGCTATTACAATCTGCTATTGTTAAAGGCGGGCTTAAATTGCTCCTGCCTATCCCAGGCCACTTAGGCCTGCCTATACCAGCTACAGTTACAAGCTGCTATTATCAAAGCCCGGCTGCAAATGCCTTCACGTGTATATAGTAACTCGACCCTGCCGACATTATAGGCCGGCTGCGCATACCCTCACTCGCACACAGCAACTCGAGCACGCCGGCACAAGCTGCAGTTACAAGCTGTTGTTAAAGGCTGCAGCTACAAGCTGCCGCTGTCCAAGGCCGGCTCTGAATGCCCTTACTTATACATAGCAACTCGGCCCTGCCGGCACAAGCTGCCGTCACAAGCTGCCGTTACGGGCTGCCGACGTCATAGGCCGACTGCAAATGCCCACCCTCACACACAGCAACTCGAGCCTGCCGGCACGGGCTGCCGTTAAAAGCAGCTGCCGACGTCATAGGCCGGCTGCGGATGACGTTGGCCGACCTTATGGGGCCGCCTGCGCCTCTGTGCCCCGGCGCCCCCTGCAATCCGGGCCCCACAACCTTAATTTGACTCTCAAGCTGCTGTTGGAAGCTGCTGTCTCAAGCTGCTATTGGAAGCTGCTGTCTCAAGCTGCTGTTGGAAGCTGCCGTCTTAAGTTGCTGTTGGAAGCTATTGTCTCAAGCTGCCGTTACAGCCTGACAGCAAAAGCTGCTGCTAGTTCCTGCTATTAGAATCTGCTATTAGAATCTGCTATTAGAATCTACTACTAGAAGCTCTATTAAATCTCTCTATTCTTAAAGGCTCTTTTTTATTTTCTTTCTGCTAGTCTTTCTGCTGTTTAATTATCCAACTAAATACTGCTATAGTATTTATTATCTCTATGCTGCCAACTAGCTGTGGATGCCTTTGCCTGAGCTACTACTAATAGTCCTTTTTGTCTTGTAAGGCCTGCTTGATAACTACCTCCTCCATCTAGGCTTGCATTGCCGGCTTGATAAATACTATAAGAGCTAGCGGCATTACAATATACTTATACTTATAACTTCTGCCCTTATTCCTATAGTCTTCTATATATAGGGCCTGGGAGAGGTGGCAGTAGAAGTAGCTTAGGTAGGATACCTACCGGCCTCCTCTACTCTTATAGCAAATACCTTCTTGAAATTGTATTGCGTCTATAAAGAAAGGCCGGTAGAGCTTGCTCTCTGCTGCAGCTACCCCCGTCTCTATACTTGAATTGCCTTCCAGCCTTGCTTCCAGCCTGGGGCAGCAATACCATGAGTGTCGGGCCTCGGCCGCTCCGTAGCGCACCCAGCAGGGCCGGCACCCCATCTTACCTTGCTTGCCTAGCCCCAGGCCCCGTGCGAGGCCGTCGATTTCCTCGAGCGCAGCCTCGATCTCGGCCAGGTCCCGGCTGCTTTGCCGGCCTCGGGCTTGTAGCAGAGCCGGCCCAAGAGCGGGAGGCTTGCCCTGCCGCTGGCAGTTGTCGTAGAGGGCGGCCTTAGGGCTGATGGCGCGGCAGCTGCGATAATCCCCATCTAGATGCCGGCCTAGGATATACCGCCGGCATCCTGGGGTCCAGATCAAGCTGCCGATTTCCTGCCTTTCCTCATCCCAATAGGCCTCCTGCTGCGGGTTCCCCAGCGGCCAGTTTCTCTCCTCGACAACAACCTCGGCCAACACCGGCTCGCCAGCCCGCCCGGCCCGCCCGACCTCCTGAGCATAGCTGAGGACAGAGTAGGGGATATCGAGGTGGATTACATGCACGAGGCCTGAGACGTCAAGCCCCGTGCCTAGAGCTGCTATAGCTACGATATATTGTGCCGACTCTTCAATCTACTGCTGATAGCCTATATGCCGCTGGGCTAGAAAGGCACTGCGGCTGGCTTCGTCCCCATCTTTGCCTGCCTCGGCCTCTGTATCTCCATGGTAGTAATAGCAGTCGAGCTGCCGGGCAACTGCCTTGCAGCTTGCATAGCTGCAGCAGAAGATGATGCCCTTCTTGCCTGCCTTCAAGGTCCTCGCTTAAGCTGCTATATGCTGCTTTATCTCTGCAATGCCTTGGCTGCTGCGGACCTTATAGACTTGGAACTGCACGTTCAGGCGGTGGCTGGAGGCCCAGATGTAGATGGGGTTCTACAGCAGCATAGCAGCCTCGAGGGCAGCCTGCTTATACGGCAGCAAGGTGCCGGTAAGGAAGATAAGCAGGCAGGCAAGGCCCTGCAGCTGGATCAGCCCCTTCAGCTTGGTTCGATAGCTTAAGGCTGCCGTGAAGGTGAGGTGGCATTCATCGATAACTACTCGGTTAAGCTGGTTGCTGATGCTGAGGCCGGCTGCCTACTGCAGGAAGCTATTAGTGACGGCAGCCTCGGCCGATATTACTGTAACTGTAGGCCAGGAATCCTGAGCTTCTGGCCAGGTCTTGCAGTCTAGGCCGGCATCCTGATAGCAGCTGACAAGCTGGTCCTTGAGTGCCCGATAGGGCGCAACTACAATTGTTATGCCGGCTTTAGTTAGGAGGGCTGGCATTATAAAGATTAGGTTCTTGTTGGTACTAGTAGGCAGGATGGCAACGAGGGGGGTCTGCTTGGCTGCAGCCTGCTAGATAGCTTCCTTCTATGCTGCTAAGTAAAACTTAGCTGCTGGATTCTACAGGGCTTGCTATAAAGTCTATAGAAGGAGCTGGTTATCTAAGGCTCTAATTATGCCTCCTCTTATAGCTGTAACTGCAGCTGACCCGGCTGTCTGTAGCAGCCCTAGAGGCTGGATTCTTTTAAAGGCTTTCTACTCTTTAGCTCTGCCTCTTAGTTTTAGATTGGCCCTACTTTTCTTCTTCCCTCTGACTGTTTTTTTTATGCTAGTATGAGCTCTAGCTGCCTTAATCTTTATATTAGCTGCTACTGCTTCCTCTTTATCTTCTACTTCTTCCTCCTCTTAAGCTTTAATCTCTCCAGTCCTTCTAGCAGCTTCTTCTCTTTTTTCTATATAGCTAAGAAAGTGGTGTTAGTGCTAACTAGCCTAGCCAAAGACCTCTAAGAACTTAGAGGTTAGCTGCTTGAGGATTTTAATAGTCACTTTATAGCCGGCAGCTGTATGGCTTGTGTGTGTAGCAGCTAGATCCTCAACATTCTTATAGCTCTCGCCCTCTTTCTCCTTCTTATCCTCTGCCTGGTTGGCTGTGCTAAAATACCCCCTCTGGGGCCCTCGGGCGCGAGTATGCCGCTGGCTGACGGCAATAGCGATATGCCGCCACTGCTGCAGCGTAATCCTTTGGCCGATATAGTGCTGGGTCTATTTGGCAAGGGCTCGAGATAGCTAGTTGCTATTCCAGGGCGTACCGGGCTTTTCGTGCTGATGCCAGATAAAGTTGCTCGGTAGATAGACCTTATCGCGGAGGGCTAGCCGGCTGCTCTCGAGCCGGTTTGTAAAGGGCTGGATGTAAAGTATATATATTACTAGAAGCTGCCCAACCCGGCCCGGCAGCATCCGAGGGATAACCTTAGGGCTGTTGAAGTGGGCAAGGGATTTGTGATACTGGCTGACTAAGACGACCTTGCCGTCGATGATAAATACGCTGCAGTTCCGATTGATGCCGTTGACGAGCTGCAGCCCGGTGATTTCCGGCCCTCGAAGAGGCTGGTTGGTTAGATGGATGAGGACTAATAGCAGCTCTTGGAAGTGCTTGACCTGCTGTAAATACCGCTGGACCCGGGGCCATTTCCACTCGCCCTTGCTGTCGAGGAACTCCTTCTGCAGCGGGCCTGCCACAAGGCTCTGGAGTATTTCCTTTTCCCGCCCCAGCAGGCCGTTGGTATGCATAAAGGATTGGCCGCGCTGGGTCTGGGTCAGATCGTCGCGAATAGCTGCTAGAGGGATGAGAAAGCGGCCTCGAGCTTCAAGCCCGGCTGTCTGCTGTATATAGGGCCCGGCTGGCCCTGCTGCCGTATTGCAGCTGCTGCTGCTGGAGGGCCGGAATAGCAGTCTTTCCCATAGAAGATCTTCAGCATCTGCCGTCATTCTGGCCACTAGCTGCCGGATGCTATCTATTGCAAGAGGCTGACCGTGGTAGTAAAGCAGGGTTCCTTCAGCATTCCACAAGACTGCAAGCCGGCTGCCGGTCTCCATTGCAATCTTCCGACCGTAGAGCAGCAGGCTCAAGATATAGCCCATTGGTGCAAAGCTGGTCTTACATAGCCAGCTCTCTCTTGCTGCATGCAGTTGCTCGGGCAGATCTGTCAGTGCCGCCCGCTGGCTGCTGGGGATCGCCGCCTCGGCTACAACAGCTCGGCCTGTATATACGAGGCCGGCTAGAGTGCCTGTAAATAGATGGGCCGGCTGCAGCTGCCCGGTTTGCTTGTTGATCCCCAGGACGGCGACAAAGTGCCACAGCGGGCTCGCAAAGGGGTCGGCAGGAAGGCGCTGCATCCAAAAGCTGGCTAAAGCCTGTAGGACCTCTTCTTCAACCTGGGCTCTTATCTTGCTATTGTCATGACTGTTACTACAGCCGCCCTCATCGTCCTCGTCCTCATCGCTGTTGTTGCCGCTACTATAGCTGCAGCCTGCCGCCACGGCCTGCTCGAGCCGACGGGCAAGCCTTGCAAGCTGGCCTCGCTGCATTGGGGTAAGAATAAGAGCGTGCTGTGTGGCTAGCTCGGCCGGCTCAAGCGTCCGAACCCGTAGGCAGTAGCAGAGAAAGCGCTTGCTATAGCGCAGATATCGATCCATGCTGTCCTTTTCCTGCAGGGGCCCAAAGGGCCGGCTGTGAGTCTCCTGCAGGTGGGGGCTGGCCAGGTAGAGCCGGCCGATGTGCGGCAGCGCCCCGAGGCCGGCGATGCAGCGGCGGAAGAAGACCCGGTCTAGGGCTTCAACAAGCATCTGTAGGTCCGGCTCGTCTGCTTGCTGCGGCATCCGGCTGGCGGCGTGGATTCGGCCTAGGTCTCGGCAGCCAAAGTGATCAACCCAGCCGGTGCGCCGCAGCCAGTTGGTGATCTCATGCTTGTATATGCTGCCTTCAGCCATCTGGAGCAGCTTTTCCTGCTGCTCGCCCTGCTCGTGCTCCCACTGCTGCTGAATAGTTGCTACAAGCTGAGCTGTCTGCTGCTGCCTCTGCTGTGCCTCTGCTCCATTCTCAGCATTGCCGGCTCTTAGCGGTGCTGGCAGGCTGGGCTCCATACTGCAGCTCGGGCTTGGGCTGAAGGAGCTTGAACTTAAGCTTGAGCTTGGGGCTATTGCAGCAGCAGTCAGGTTAACAGGAAAGTAGGAGCGCCTAGCTGGCTGTGTAAAGAAGGTTTGGGCCGGAGCCTGATACCAGAGGCCTGCTCGGGCCTGCTCGCTGCCGGCTGCGTGGAGCTGGCTGCAGTGTGTTTTGCAGAGCTTCCAGTTAACCGTTAGAAAGCTGGGGCATCTGCGGCATCGGAATGCGTAGTGGATAGGGAGCCCGGCAAAGGGGGCTACTGCTGCCTCTTCTAGGTCTTGATCCTGGCCTTGCTGGCTACCTTCCGGCCTCTTGTGCAGTAGCTGCTGCCGCCAGCCAGAGCCGCTGAGGTTCTGTTGGCTATAGTGCTTAGCAAGAGCCTGGCGTATAGGCCAGCTAAGGTCGGTATGCTGCTTTAATAGATGACTTGGCAGGTCGGCTACAGCGTAGCCATGAGTTGCACAGATAAGAATAGAAAGGCAGGGATAGTAGTAGAGCCAGCTTTGGCTTGAAGCTATAGCTGCTGCTGCTAGCTGTTTTTGCTGCAGTTGGGCAGCTCTTTCCCTATCTTTTTCTTCTTCTGCTGCCATCTTTTCTCTTTTATTTCTTTTCTTTAAGCTTAAAGAGAAAGGAGAAGAAGAAGATAAGGGTAAGGGGAAGAGAAGAAGAAAAAAGAGAAAAGAAAAGGTCTCTCTCTCTCTCTCTCTCTCTCTCTCTCTCTCTCTCTCTCTCTCTCTCTCTCTCTCTCTTTTGCCCCTTTTTGCCTCTCTCTGATTGGCTCGCGACCGGTCATCAAGTGCGACCGGTCATCAAGTGCGACAGTCCCCTGCCGGTGGAGGCAGCCGACAGGGGGCTGCGGCGATTTGGACCAATGGCGAGTGGTGAAGCCGGTCATCAAGTGCGGCGGCGTCGCACTCGATGACCGCGGACTCACGGTTGGATACAGCGCTGAGGACTCAAATTGGAACGGCAGGATACGCGGCTCCGGAAGTTCAGGGATTCATAACTCTTAAAGATGCAGCCTATACCTCTGCCGTGGATATATGGTCACTCGGGGAAATTGCTTTCCGCCTCATCACTAATCAGCCGACATTCTCCAACAATCGCTTGCTGTTCAACTACATAACAACGGGAAATTCGTTTCCGTCCAATATTCTAGCCCAAAGGAACGTGTCTAACTAGTGCGGGCAGTTCATCCAAAACGCCATGGTGGTTTCACCATCAAAACGGCCCACCGCATCTCAAATTCGCTCTTGTTCTTGGATCTCGACATTAACTATACCACCGGAATCTAGTATACCGTCAAGCGACGGGTGAGAAATCATCCACCACCCCCTGAAAAGAGTTAATTTCTTAACAGATTCTCGAAATATCAAGGTCTTTTCCCACAATAAGCAAGACGCATGACGAACTTTCGCAAGAAGAAGTGTCAGCTGCGTGGACCACGACCGAACTTACCCTACCCCCGTCAGACACGCTAAATGACGAGGACATAAAAGAAGCCACTGATGAGTCGAAAACATTTGTACCAACAAGTCCAGCTCTTGCCATTATGAAAGGCCACGATTTACCAGCGCATATTGACTCGGTGGATAAGATATCAGTGCCAACACCGAGACCTTCCATAAGGAAACACATCTCAACAAGCAATTACGACATGTTGGTAAGAATTAGCCGTTCGCAAGAGCCAGTGCAGTTTGAAGGAAGATGCTCTTGAATTTTGCTGCTAATCCTTGGTGACTTGTGGCGCTCTAGGTGAAAGTTCTACTTGTAGGCGACGCGAGTGTTGGCAAGTCAGATATCCTTCTGAGATTCAGCGATGAGAACTACACTCCGTCTTATATTCCGACGATTGGTATTGATTTCAAGATAGTCAAGCTTGAGATCAATGGAAAGATCATTAAGCTCCAGATTTGGGATACTGCCGGCCAAGAGAGATTCCGTACCATAACAACAGCTTACTACAGAGGAGCAATGGGTATCCTGCTGGTGTACGATGTGACAGACGAAAGATCGTTTCAGAGTACGTTACAAGCGCAGAGCCTAACAGGGAGCCTAGCCGCGGTTGCTAAGGAGGACCTGGATAGAATACCATCTGCTAACGGAGTTTCAGATATCCTAACCTGGAATGCGAACATAGGGGAGCACGCCGTTGAAGGTATCAACAAGATTCTGATTGGAAACAACTCTGATTTGGTCGAATCACGAGTAGTGTCACCTGAGCGTGGCCAAGCACTCGCATATAAGATAGGAGCTCCTTTCCTTGAGGTATCGTCAAAGTTGAATAGCAATATCGACCAGGCCTTTCACAACCTCATTGCCGACATAATGAAGCGCCTCGCTGCTGAACGACCGAATCAGCTAGCACAACATGAGGATAAACAAACCCATCAATCGATTAAAGAAGGGTGGTGGAAGCCTTCAAAATGGCATTGGAAGTGATCATTGATCTGTTTGCTTGTTTAGCGTCGACAAGAACCGCAATGAAGCATGACGAGCGATGCTCATATTCTCTTGGTTTAGATTTAAAGCGCCTTTCAGTTTAAGTTATTAAGATCCGAAATGTGGCTGTGTGATCTTCTAGTAGGATGTTTGCCGTGGGAGGACCTTGTTTCATCATTTGATTCTCAGAAGGGGCAGCAATGGAGACATCCATTGCTGGCCGCGAATATTCCCAATCTCACAACAGGTGAGGTTTTTGACTCAGCTTTGATGATTCTTGGCTAGACTAGCGAGAGCTTCTCCCATTCGTCGCAATCTAGAACTTTTGTCAATCTCGGAATGGAATGGCGGACATGAGCAATAATGCCACATGGAACATCCCTTTTAGATAGGATAGGTTGTCCAATAAAAAGAGATTTCTCAGCATCAGCGCATTCATACAGGAAAATACATCTTGAGTGGTCTACCTTGCGCTACATCAGCCATATTCACTCGCGTCCCATCGTATCCCGTCGCCTCCGCGTCATTAACCTTAATAGCCAACCTCATGACAGCACCAAGATTTTGCAGCATCTCACCACTTCTTCAGGCTATCACGTGCAGAGAGACAGATACTTCATTGGTGCCATTCGCACCTATTGCTAAGTATTATATCCCTCCTGCACTCATCATACATAGGGATTACACCGCCAGCTTACTCGTCAGTAACCGAGAAAGACTCTCCAGCGAGAGGAGAGTCTCATCCAGTTCTTCCGTCAAAGACTCTCGCATCGCTTCTGCCACTATACCCATGACTTCTTCCCTCTGCTCCGAGTCTGGCATCAGCTCTCCGGCTGTTGTGGCGAATATCACGCCCGACACAAAATGCGCATCTCACTAAAACCTATCTAGTGATGGGACATTTTGTGATTTGGGCTTGTAAATCAAGAGCCCGGGTTAGCATGCTTCCTAATAGCAAATTCACATCAAGTTGCCCGTAACTGCCCGCGCATCCGCGCTAGGGGTTGCCATCTTACATTCTCTTCTTCAGTTACATTACCTACTACATATACAATTTAGACGCACGGGTATTTTCCGGCCAAGCAACGACAATTACAGGACCTTTGTCTTCTCCTAGCTGACTAATACGCGCGATCAAGGCTTCAGATAAGAGTTTGTCTCCCCTCCCCCTTCCTTCTGTCAGACGGAATATATGGATAACAATAGCTCTGCAAGCAAGAGGAGCGCGTTCCCTTTTGCCGTAGCGGTTATTGCGACACCTTCTACCTCACCATGCTCTTTGGCTCTGACGCCCTCTCTCCTCTCTTGTTTTCTTTGCGCGAGCGCAGCATGCGGTGGAATGTGCATCCTTACTTTTTCTCCCTTCAGTACGAACACTGATATTTATCGATTTCATCTATTATACCCTGGGCGCCTCAAACCTTCACATTGTTAACCAGGATGCCATCCCCGTACAAGCTAACAGCAACCCAGGTACTTGAGCTATTCAAGACAGACACCATCACTGCGGAAGCGTATCCCTGATCTCTCTTGGGCCAGATTCATAAGCGTGACAGGATTATTAAATCATGGGCGTTCCTTGGTGGACCCTCTCATCTTGTTAATTCAACCATCTTGTAAAAATATGTAATAAGTCAAAATCAGATCCCGCTTCCATCCTAAGCCAAGTGCGAGACCTGGACAGGATTCCCAAATATCAGAGAGGGCCGTTGTATGGGATGGCTATCGAAGTAAAGGATGTTATGGATACCAAAGGTACAGTGTAGTTTGAGTGTCTGATGACACAGCTCACACATGCAAGACATGCCCACGCAGAATGGCTCTCCCATTTATCAAGGTTATCAGCCAAGCTCTGATTCATCTGCGGTTGCAGTTTTACGGGCTGCGGGAGCTCTGATCTTTGGTTCGTCTGTCGCCTGTGATTTCTTCCCTTTTAATTGGGCTGATTTGGCTGCCACGTAAGACAACCACGGCCGAGTTCACCGTTGCCAACTCCGGACCCGAAACAACTAATCCTAACGATCCGAATCGCACTACAAGGGGTTCCTCGCGTGAATTTGCGGCACCGGTGGCCGATCTTCAAAATACCTCTCGCTCTCGGAATGCAGACTGGGGGTAATGAGTATCATTCGCCCAGCGTCTTTCGCAGGGATCTTCGCTATGAAGCTAACCTTCAACGCCATTTCAACTGAGGGCCAGAAATCCGTTACCCCTACATTTGACACCATTGGCTTCTTTGCTCGTAGCGTCGAAGACCTGCAGCTCCTTGCAGATCTATTCGCCATCCAAGACAATGAGACTCCCCAAGATATTCATTTTAGAAAAGTTTCGGTTGCTCTGATGAAAATTCCCATTTGGTCCTTAGCAGGTCTTGGTACAGTATCTGCAATGAAAGAGACAGCTACTACCCTCCGATATCGTGGCATCAAGGTGAAAGAGGCCTCGTTTCCCCCTAAAGTCGCCAATGTCGAGGCCCTGAAGCAGATCCAAAAACCAATCACCCTTGCCGAAGCCCAACCGTCTTTCCTTATTGGAGATTACTGGTTAGACAAAACAAAGCTAGCTACGAAAATTCGAGAAATTGTTGAGAACACCTCCAACTGCACCCGCACAGAAAGAATGGAAGCTTTAGACAGGTACTCTGACATGCGGCATATCATAAATGAGCTGGCTGCGAACTACACTGCAATCATCGCGCCTAGCGCCGTCGATGAAGCTCCAATGGGGCTTCGCTACATGGGTTGTGCATGTTTCAACACCATGTGGACTGCAAGTTCTTTCTCGATTACCTTGCAATAATTCTTTGGCTGACCCAGACCAGGGGTTTCATATGCCTGTCGTCAACGTACCTACATTTATTGGAGTTTACGGCATGCCTGTTGGCCTAGCTCTTGTTGGCCCTAGATTTCACGATCAGCGGCTGTTGCAAATTTGCAAAGCTCTCAGCAAGGTACTTGTGACTAATGGTGGTTCGAACGTACGAAATTGAACCGGCCAGTAACAGTTCACACAGGGCATTTCAATCAAAGCTCTTACGTAAATATTCAAGTGATAACATGGGCTCAAACGCGCAGCTCGAAAGTGAGGGGTCAGTCAAGTGAGGCGAGTGACGATGTGACAATTTCTGGCATGTGTTTATGGCTAGGATGAAGTCAGGGTTGCAGCCTACTGTAGCTGCCATCCACATGTATATTGAATAGCTGCATGAGATTTGCCAGAGTGGTCTCTTTTTAGAGTCGCTATTGAGTTAGCTTTGATAGATTGTAAAATCATTGCAATCAAAATTAGTGGCTAGACGCTGTAGTGTTGCAACCCACTATACCCCCGAGACCCAGTGCTAGAATCATCTCCTAGAGTTGTCATCATGCCCCTTGTCATGCGTGTAAGTATGTTGCATTAGACTTCAGCAATTTTGCCTGGTCGCACTGTGGGCATCTCCTTAGGCTAGATATGGTCCTATATTCGCCTACTATCTTTGATATACTGAGATCCTATTATTTGCATGCACAATGATAGATTCATACACCCAGCATATGTGGGAACTAAACCTCGAATCGTCATTGTCCCTTCCTTAGTATAGCTGACATGATGAGTTATGCGACAAAGACCACCATCACTTTCTAAGCACCATAGAAATTCTAGACCAGAATGCATCGCCAAAGGGGAGCTGACTGTGTGCCCTACTACGGTTGATGGACCCAGTGGTGGGGGCGGAGAACCAAAGCTCTCCAAAGTTAACTGACCGTAAAGAACACTCAAGCATTAACAACTAATCCAATGAATAATAGCTAAATTGAACTTTAAATCCAAATATGAGGTTTTTAACCTTGTCTCATCATACTGAAATGGCTCTGTCAAGCTCTTTTCAACCGGACTCTCAATATAGAAAATGACATAGCATATCCGCCTTGATATTATCTCTCGACTATAGTTATGATTACGATATCACATCCACTGGTATTGAGTCTCTAATTTACACCTCATTAGAATATGCACAAGACTAGTCTTTGATACTATTTCCCAGATTTGACCCTATCTAATAATTTCCAGGAGCGCGATGCGAGCCTGTGGAGGTCCAGCTTTTTAAACGCCATCCAATGCTGACTCATGTGGCCTTAGCTTGCTCACTTTAATGGGATGGGCATACAGTAGTTGAGCGCCTCAATTGTTTGGGTGTATTTCATGGCCTGGGGCCGGGTCGAGTGACTGTTTACCATTCCAATCAGCCTACTTAGGGGAAGCTACCTATTTTCCTCTGCGATGAGGCGCCTTGACGAGGAATTCTTAGACATGGAGCTGCCGAGGCGCTAGATGGTGCCGATGCCCGATCAGTACTTGGGCGGAGATATTTGACTTCGGAGAATCCTTACGTTGAGAGACAGAGTAATTGTTTTTATTGCTGCCTCTAACGCACTTGGCGTACGTCGAAAGCATACAGTTTATGTCATTTTAAAAGCGGAGGCTGATAACTATACCTTTTAAGATTCCTTGCACAAAGAACTAATGGTAAAATTCTTCAGAGCGTCTTTATGTGCGTCATAGCGCGGGCTACGTACATTATAGCCAAGAGAGAACGGCCTTGTCTTACCCTTTTTGCACCCTATGGATTTAAAGGGAGGTTATAAGTAATGAGGTGCTACGCTCATAGATATATAACGTTTTGCTTACTTTAAGTAGAGGGTCTGCCCCCCCTGGACCTTCTCATCGGGGATGTTCTTGTAACTTATGGGACTTGTTACGGCTCAGGTTGAGACCAAGCGGTCACAACCGGCAGAACCATAACGTACCCACTTTTCCTTCCAATTATTAATGGCTCACTTGGATCACCACTGTAATCCTTACAATCCAGAATAATAGCTTACTTAGATTACTACTGTAATCCCCACAATCCAGAATAATAGCTTACTTAGATTACTACTGTAATCCCCACAATTTAGAATAATAGCTTACTTAAATTATTATTGTAATTCCTACAATTTAGAATAATAACTTACTTAGATTACTACTATAATTCCTATAATCTACTACAGTATATATATATATTTATTTAGTATTTTTATAGAAGAATAGCCTTATTAGCTATTAATATACTTAATTATATTAAATTTATTATTTTATTATTATTAAACTGTAATTTATATTACTTATTATAATATTTTAATTTATTTAATTATATATTTTATATTTAAATTTATTTTATACTTTTAAATTAAATTAAATTATTATAAAACTTTATAATAGCTTTTTTTTAAATAAAGTTAATAAAAATAAATATTAAGCTTTAAGCTATTATTAAAACTTTTACTAATAATAATTTAATATAATAATTAAATTTAAC